CAGATCATTTTCAGGCATTGGGCGAGCCTAAATGAAGGGGTTGGGAGACGCAGAGACGCTCATTGGAGCCATTCACGCAAGGAAGAGAAAACTGACGACAACCCTATGAAAGGAAAGTCGCATGCTTGTGGGCACTGATACTTCGAAAGGGTGAGTTTTGTTCACAGCGAGCCCCTAAGGGCCCTTACGTTTTGCCGGTATTGAAAGTGGTACACTCAAAGAAGCTGCAGAACTGCGCTCTTTATGAGGATTCTATCACTCAGAAAACCGCTGAATGTGTCTCTGAAGTTCCTGACACTTTTGAAGAATGAGCGCCGAGTAAATTATAGGTATCAATCTAGCGACCTGGGACAACTGGAGAATTGGCAAACAAAGGTTTTTTGGAGATTGCGCGCCAAAGGAACAGATGGAAATCGATGGACTACGGTAGCTAGCGACTTGGAAGAATAGGAGAATTGGCGAACTAGGAAAATGCGCGCGAACCTACGAAGTCGATCAATTTTCATTCACTTCTTGCTGATAAGTCGATTCTTCTATCCCAACGAGTCGCAAAGTATGAGCGCGGCCTAACAAATTCTATTCTAGAAATGACAAGAGAACTTTAGAGCATTCTAAAAAATCTGCGAAACCTACACTTCTGTGGAGCAAACACATCCAGCACCAGCTAGGCGCTCATCATATTCAAGAATGTCCCCTAAAAAAACAACCTCGAGGAAGTTTCGAGCGGAGTGACTCGAATTGGAGTGATATTGTGAGCAAACTAGTTCTATTAATGAAACAGCAATAATATAGGTATCACTCGAAAATTACCTTTATAGACATCAAGCAATACCGGGAGCGAATTCGAACTGCACACAACTTTCTCATTTTGGTGCTCTGCAGAGCTGAAAATTGTATGCGTTGCTGAGTTGGTCTTACAAAAACCTCTCCCATGAAGGTAGTTTCCCTGAGCTTTTGTGATTGGGAAGGGGGCAGCACGATTAAGTGAGCTCCTCCACGCCCTCTCACACAGCCAGCGGTTCCACCCCTGCGATCGGCATTAGAAAAGAACAGACGATTACATCAGTGTTCGAAAGGTGTCGTTTGGTGGGGAGAGCAGCATAATTGGTACACCCCATGTGGCTTCCCACAACCAAAGTAGCGCCAATTTTCCTGAGGCAATTCGTTTTTATTAGGTCAAGTCCAGGAGCTCGTAGTGTAGCAATGCAAAGAAATCAACAGAGAATTTCCCAGATAACTGTCGTACTGTAGCAATACAATGTCACATCGTCTTCGCGCCAATGCCGCGTATGTGACGCCGCTTGAAACGTCCTTTTTGTGCTTACCGCTGCAATGGGAGAGTCTTCGACTAAATCCGTCCCCATTAAAGAAGCTGAACACAATCCGAAGAAAATACGGAAAGCTCATGAAAGCTTATCAGGTAAAGACACGCATATTTTGCGAGTGTGAGAAACTGCGGATTAGAGAGGACTGGCGACAAAGACAATTGAATGCAAAGCTATGAAGAGTGCGCCTTTGCGAGGGGACGACTCGAGAAAATGTCGTAAAATCAGCGATCAGCGGATTATAAGGGTATCAACTGGCTCTGCGGTAACTGTTTCGGAAATGCACGACCAAAATGAGTGAAAGTAATCGATTCCTATCTAATCTTGGTCGTCTTGCACTTCTAACGCAGGTCGCATGTTAGGGAAAGAACCAGTGTTTCCGTGAAAGACACTGAGGATCGCACTTGATAGAGCTCCCATCTCCCAATTTCTAGAGTTACGAGTTGCGGCGGCCTGTCATAGCAGTTTAATATAGTCATAGAAAATGTATCAAAAACAGCAAGTTATGCAAACATAAAGATCAATAACAGATGGTCTTCTACCTCACTTCAGTAACTTTAATCCTTTCGAAATTTCGTTCTCATCGATATCTACAGATATCACTCTTTCGATTCCCATACTGCCCATCAAGGCAATTAGAAATCTTTCTAATGACAACGAACCACAGCCAAGTACAGCCAACTGGAAAGAAACAAAATATGGTTGGAAATTGAGAGCGCGTAATTCTACCAGCATACCTTTCGAATTTTCTCGCCAGCGTCCTCCATATATGCATAGAGAATGTCGCGTACGAATGCATTACGCTGATACTGAAGGGGAGGTGTAAAGATCCTTGGTTTGCTAGCCACTTCATCGTAGTCATACTGAAAACGACTGAATTGAATCATATGGAGGAAGAGTCTATGTCAGCTTTCTATTCTATGGCAGCTGAAACTGAACAGAGGTGAGCACCAGAAGGCTGAGCTCAGAAAAAAAAATGCAAATCACTCAAATTTTAAGGGCCCGCTGCTCAAGGTAGAGCAGTGAGCGAGCTCTGATCACGCATGTTTTTTCAGAGACGAGCCCGAA